CATCATCAAATTAGCCGATAATTTTTGTGAGTAATACGAATTTTCTACTACAGCATTAATATCAGCTTAATAGTTACATTATCAATATTTACAGCAATTTCGAACACTTACAGACGATAAACAGCTCTCGGTTAATAGCTGTTTTTCGATATATCGGTCACTGTAAAAGATACACGTAATTACAAGAACAAGATCACTTAACGTTTTGACAGTACGCTTTTCTTGCCGCTCGATTATGCTTGCCGGAGCCTTTGTTTTCGCAAGAAAGCGTGAGACACCAATTGGTTTGACATAAACATTTATTCAATGGTTAACAAAAGATAGTATTTGATTAACACATATATACTCGTACAATATTTACAAGGCTTACTAACCGAAGGCTAGAGTAGTGCATGTACGGGTAGCGGTGCGGTGCGGTACTTGTCGGTTCGATCGATACGGAGAAGCCAGCAGAAATCGGCGCATGCAGAGATCGCCGGTCGGACGAGAATCGGCGCGGAAGTCGCAGGTCATGCACAGTCGGAGAAGTCGCAAAGCCCTTCGGTGAGTATACGGATTACGGAGTTCGCTGGCGGTGCCAGCGGAGCCCAGGCACAGCTGGACTAAAGGCAGGACAGGTTCCGGCCGACCGGCGACCCGGTCCTGAGAGTGAACGGCGACCCGTTCCACTGGGGCGAGGATGCGTGCTGTCTGTTCGACCGGCGATCCGGTCTGGCGAGTGCGAAGAAGTCAGCGGCTCGACTCTCTCTCCAGGAGTGATGCTTAGGAACGGTCTCGGCAGGAACGTGTTCGGAACAGGATGTCTGTCTATCACTTCGTAGCTCCGGCTTATATATCCCCGCCGATAGGCTTTGGCGTGGGGCACGGAGAGGGGTTCGCTAGTGAGGAGCACGCTCGGAGCGCGTGCTCTTCTAATTAGTCGAAATTGTGGCAAGCGCCAAAAGGCGGATGGTCGGCCCTGATCCTAGTGGCAAGGCGGGGGCGCATCGTCACAACGTATAAATTGAATTTGGATCACCAATAACGATCAAGCGAGTCAATCCACGAAATCAAAAATGATTCTTAGTGAAGGTACAACACGCGCCGATCTATTGTATGCGAACTAATGATTGCGAAAGTATTATGTGATACAATTTTATACAGCGTTCATTGTTTTAGGCTTTCCAATTTTAATTATTAGTAATTGACTTGTGGAAAATTAATCTCACAATTTTTTATCAAAATATTTAGATTTATGAAAAATCTTTACAATATTTTGTGAACAATTTAATTAGCCTGATAAGCCGTTTAATTTTTAAGTTAGTTTCTGTGTGGCCCTGAAAAGAGCCGTTTGGTCTCTTCTTTTATATTAGCCTCTCTCGCCAGGTGATCGGTGGATAGGATTTTTGTTATTCTCTTTAATCCAAGGACTCTATCCGTGAAAAGAAGGCTGTTGTTGCTTACTTCTGGATAGGCTTCCTCCGTCTGCGTTATCTTGGTGTTTTGTAGAGCCTCTCAGAACCGATCGTCTTCTTCCATGCTGCCGCACTCCTCTGCTGACCGTTGGACTGCTTTGCTATTCGGCAAGAAGTATCCGTCGATCCGAAGATCTCCTGGTTGCAGGCAGCTCCTGTACATGGTTGGCCTCGTTCTCGCCGGTGAAGGAAGATCCAGCGGGATGATTTTCCACGGCACCTCTTGATTCCTCGGAGGACTTGGTGGCAGGTCGATCGGGATCAATCTCCAGGGAATCTCTCTAGAAAGCTCCAGGATAAATGGTTACGGAATAATTTGCCGATGTGCAAGTGGTTTGTCTCGGCTCGTTTCGACGGTCTATTTATACCCATCTTGGATGTTTTTCAAACGCGAGAAAATCATCCCTCTATCGGCGTTAATTTAATTAATTTTCAATTAGCTGGATCCGGTATGCCGTGAAAACAATCGCTGATTAACTTCGAATTTAACATAAACTGCTGCAGAAACGGAGTTTGTCGTGTTTCGAAATGGCGCGTCAAAGCGCACCGAAAATGTGGGATCGAACAGACCGCCACAGACAGAATTTAGGTTCTGTTTCTTTATTCATTTATTTAAATGTTTAATTTATTTTAACTGAAGAAAACTCTGTGCAGTCGAAACGTTTTGTGTGTTTTATTTGACATTAAATTTTTATAATATTATGATCTTGTGATTTCATGTCACATCATATCTTGTTCGTTTTTCGACTGATTGTGAGTTAAAATTTCTTATTTGTTTTTCAATCACAAGCTAGTTAATGTAGTTTTAATTTAGGTTTTGTTTGTTCACATTTAAAATATACTCACCCGCAAAAAAACCACTGTCACTAAATTTTAGTTCTTAACATTTTTCAATAGTGATAACTCTATGAAAAATCATTGTATCGAAATGAACCTAATCTCTAATTAAAATTTGAACATTCCCCTTGATAACTAAGAAAATCAAAATTTAGTTCCTAAAAATGCTTTATAAAATGGCGGATGTTGAAGACTGACTTAGAAAAATAGGAAAAAATTTTTCTTTAAACTATTACATTGCTTAGGGAAATTAACTGCCTGGCATAAAAATTTATAAGTTTTCAAGCTCATTGATTTCTTAACAAATCCATATGTCGATCATTTTTCTACAATTTTTTTACAAAGTTATAGTGTTTTAAAGAAAGTGATATTTTTGGATCCATTTTTAATCACTAATGCAACTTGAAACAAATGTAATATTAAAGAGTTTATTAATTATTAACCTAATCATTGTTTTAATTGTTATATTTTCAGGTTTTGTCCATCTGTATTTTTATATATTAGTAGCGTGGTACCTTCAATGTGGTTGATAAATCTGGATATAGTAGAAAAAATAAAATCTTATGAATCATATATCAGTATATCCAAGAATTTTGATTTATCCAATCTGACAGCTAATGAGCATTTACAACATGTGGAAGAAGCTGTACGTATGTGATATTTTAATATTATTCTTTAAATAAAACTTGATAAACATAAGTATATTATTTTTATTTAATATATGTATACGGAGTATTTTGGGAAAGTATTGTGATAAATTAAAAAAAAACTCGCGTAGAAGTAAACTACTAGTGCGCACTAGAAGTAATTTTGCTTACTATCCAGCAATTACTTGATAGATGTACACAGAACGCTTGCTGCGCGGCGGAAGTTGGCATGGCAAGGAGAAAGTGGCTTTTATATTTCCAGATTTATCCACATTTTATTAAAAGTTAATACACATCACTATCACTGGGATGAGTGATATACTAGTGATACTACTGCAAATTTAACCACCTTTTATTTTAAAATTAATGTTTCCCAGGGGACAGGCCCCCTGGGATATATACAAAATAAAGGCGGCTAGGCCGCGCGCCAACTTAAATATTTGGATGGCGGGAGGACAACAAGGCCCCCTCCCGCTCTGGATACTAAATCTAATAAGCCTGAGAGGCGCTACCCTCCGCCTACGCAATCATTATAATTAATAAATACTATAGCGAAGGACAATAGCTCCTCTTCGCTGTGGGCATCAAATCTAAGGTTGGCTGGAGGACGCACCCCCAGCCTTTTCAGTCTCACACATTTCATCATCCCCCCAGCTCGCATGTTAGGAACATGCATATCACAGGTGGGCGCCCCCAGGAATATCACAGAAGCGCTCGTCAGTAGTCCCGGGAACGCGCGCACGGCAGTACAATATATGTAATTAAAATGAACGATGTAGAACGCGCACACGCACACTCGAGTAAAATACAATAGTGTATCTCGGCACTCACACTCGGACAGTCAGGGCCTCACAAACAAGAAAAATAAATAATAAAAGAGAAAAATTAGTAAAAGAAAAAACAAAAGAATAAGTAGCCACGCTAATACAAATATGATTACATCAGTAAAATGAATAAATAAATAAATAGTTAAAACTAGCAAGAAGGGGCCTTGTCCACTAATCACACTAAATACTACATGCTAAAATGGGTATATCACAGATCAACATGGACTAAGGCCGCTCCCTCCTTGTTTGTTTAAAAAGAGGAAGTCAAGACAAAACATATAATAATTTACGCGACATTCACTTTACCGATATCGAGACGTGCATCCTGTCATTCACTCTCTTCGAAGAGTCAGCGTCGCAAACAGCTCGGGGCGGCGTCGCAAGTCCATCCCCAGAGGGACGGGAAAGAGCCCGGTACTGTCGGATGCCGGACATGTGCTCCACGTAGATGTCGCGGGACCAGCCAATGGTATCCAAGGCCACTAGGCGGCGCATCACAGATGCATATGGACTGCCCACCCGTAATAGCCTCGAACATCGCTTCGTTCCTCGGATCCCGAAGCGAAAGCACCCACGACGAAAGCCGTCACGACCACACGATACCCCTTAAGCTAGAGCTCCTTCGCTAAGGGCGAATACTTGGCATTTTTCCTCGCCCTAGCCTCCTCGAAAGCCACCCAACGGTTCTCAAACGGCACCGTCACGTCACATATGACGACACTCTTAGATTGCTCATGCCTAACCACGAGATCAGGCCGTAACTCCCCAAGTTTCCCCCTGCATGCCTTCAACCTGCCGATTGATTTGAACCTCCCCTGGGAGATGGCAAACCTTCCAGAGCCGGTGAAACATCGTGCCTTAACTGTATTGCGGCAGCATGGACGCCGCAGTGACAGAGCACGTGGGGAAGGATCTCTAATACCTTACCGCACGACAGCGTTTGTCTTCCTCCCCCCAACGGCGCGCGCCATTGAGGGGCAGCACGTCGAGACGCACACGATGGATAAAGCGCCAGTCGGCAAAAAGAGTGAAGTTGCCACTACAGACAAAGTGATTGCTCACCCCGCATCGAGACAACACCTCGAAGACCTTCCCCTGATCGGGTTTGTCTAACACACGCTGTGCGTAACAGTTCTGTTACAGTTGAGCGCAACCGATTCACTACCTAGACACGCGCACCAGGCGGAATCTTAACTGCCACGCCTCTGGGACTACGGTATTCCACGATCATTTTCCCCGTCTCAACACATCGCCACTGCAAGGACAACCTCTCGGACTGGCGGAGCGAGGCATTCCTTGCCCCAGACCAAAGGGAAGCCTTCTCTCCCTCCTTTATCCTCTCTTCCAGCGAACCGGAAAGAAAAGATATCCTCGCAACTAAAGAGGTGTCCGATTCTGCGTCCCACCACTCTTTTCAGCGATTCCCACGCCAACTGCCTGACCGCCACGTCGTCAACTGTTAGCATACGGAAGACGTGCGTGACGGACAGGACGTCGGCAAGGTCGGCGAGCGGAAAGAGACCACATCCACACCATCTGAAGGGCATATAGACACCCTCCGCCCCTGCTCGCTGAGGGAGCCTTGAACCAGGATTTCACCGTACGCCGAATGTTAAGATCAGCGGCTTTGAGAGGATCCTTCTAACTCTGGCCCCCTGCAGCAGAAAGTCTAATCGCGGCAGGATGAAAGTGGCGAGTGTTTTTATTATCTGCCACGGAGCAAGTAGGCTTATCGATCGCGTTGAAATCCAAGACGATGTCCCCGACGGCTTTGTAGGGTATCTTGTCAACGGAGGATCCTGTTGGAACATCAAGGTGCATATAACTTTCTTTCAGAAGACGTATCTGTAAGCTCTGGCTTTAAAAGGGCGTCGGCAGGACCCTGCCACCAGGCTCGGCACCGATGTGCAGGATGATACATTTGGCAGGGTTGATCGTAGCCCCACCGATGCAGCTTCCGTCTCCACGGCTCGAAGCAGCCTCCCCATTATCTCCGACGTCTCTGACAACAGTGCGATGTCATTCACATAAGCCAGACATGACCAAACATGCCATGTAGGGCATATACCCGTCGGCAGCAGCACGTACCACGTACTAAGTTGATGGCGAGGTTAAAAATAATCGGTCTTAGCGGACAACCCTGTCTGACCCCCGAGCGAATGGGGATGGGCGCTGTGACGCCGTCGGCGGTTCGCACCCGCGTCGTACAACCATCATACATGAAGTTCCAGATTTTTATAATTCTTCCTGATACCTTCACTCTTTTTAGGGCGCGGCGGATTGTCGCATGCGGGATCGATCTAAACGCGTTGGAAAGATCCAGCCATGCCACGACCGTCCGCCGGCAGGTTCTCCGTGCGTGTGTAAGGACGAAATTGTGCTCATAACACTCTTCGTCCCGTAGGAAGTCCTTCTGCGCCGAACTAAGTCGGTCAAACGGTCGGCCAAGAGCGCGGCAAAGAGCTTGAGGATAGTGTCCTCCAAGGCGAAGGGATGCCAGTTCTGCAACTGCCCGCGATCACCCTTCTTGTACACCAATATGGTGTTAGAGGTCTTCCAAGACGCCGGGACTACTCCGAGTCGAAGGCAGATGTTAAATATCGCCGTGAGGAGATGCGTGGCCCGGATCCACTCTACGGAGGTCACGGTACGTAACGCCATCGGAACTCGGCGGTGAGTTGGTCATCCGCCGGAACCGAAAGTTCACTTCTCGCTCTGTAAAGGGATTCAGAAGCGGAGACTCCTCATCCGCACTCGGAGGGTCAGCGCGCTCGGCTTCCGCGCCAACGCCAGCCAGATTCTCCCCGCCGCTGTACAGTTACTCGAAGTACTCCTGAACGTGCTGCCTAGGCACCTGGCATAGTTCGGCGGGCTCCTAGAGCACCTCTCGCACTGCTTTGCGGCGATTCGCTCTGTATAACGCCTGTAAGCGCTTGGCCTCTTGCGCCCAGTCCCCGCGTCCTTCTCCCAAAGACGCTCCAGGACCAGCCAGTGCTGGCCCCGGCTCACTGGCGCCTTCTCTCCCCGGGTGAACTCCACCCCTCCCTGCGTTCCGTAACCGAACCGGACTGTCTCGGGTGCTGCACCTCCTGCGTCCTCCCCGAAGAACGCCGATACCGAAGGGCGAATTCCTCCAAATCAGCAAACGTCTCGATGTCCCTCGCCCAGGCGATCAGCTCGTCGCGGATAGTCACCCGGTTATGCCTTTGCTGCCTTGTAGCAGGCGCAGGCGTCGGGTGAACTCCCGACAACCAGGCGACCGAGGCGGCGGAGTGTACACAATCGCGTAATCGGCAAGGGCTTGGAGTTGAACGAGGAATCTTGCGATCGGCGTTTCCCTGCTCTTCTCGTTAGGTGCACTCTCCACGACGCATCCTCGTTCCTCTCGCTGCCAGGTGGTAGTGATGGCTGCGTCGCGTCTTGTAGCTGCCGCTGCTCCTGCCCCCGCTCAGGCTCCGGTAGTGTTGGCTTTAATTGACATGGTAGCGGGGGCGTCCTCTTGAAGCCGCCGATCACTGGTAGTGGTGATGTAGCCGACGCGCACGGTGACGCCTCTCCAATGGCTGGAAGAGGTGGGAGGCACGGTGGACAGTGCCTCACCGGTTGGCGGGAGCCAGTGAACATCACTGGAACTCCGCACACTGATATCGTCACAGTGCAGGTCGTTAGTGTTGCCGGTAGCGACGTAGCGAAACTGATGATAGTGTCTCGCGTGGGTCCCCCGTTGAAGTGCCCCCGGTGGTCAGCGGCAAGCTGGGGGGCCTTATGGTTGACTCACTTCTGTCATCACACAGTGATGTCTTTTGCAGCGTTCTGCCCCTCATGATCCACGACGCCGCGTTGCTCGACTTCCGCAGCGGACTGTTCACGACCGGGACGTTGGCCGGCCGGCTCCTTTTCGTGCCCTCCGCCAGGATGGTAGTTGGCGAGGTGGTTTTGTCGGCCGACTGCCTCCTGATATTGACTGCCCGCCCCGCACCGCCAGACGTATTTGACGAACCCTTATCCCCGGACGACAGATTTATTATGTCGGAGGTGGGATGCGGGGGGACGCGTCCCGGTCTGGCCGTATCACTGCTTCTGCTCTTTGCGGCCGACCGCCTGCCTCGTACTGGTGGTGGATTTCGCGGACTTCTTCACTGCTTCCTCCCCACACTTTCTGGGTGCTATGT